GGTGGTCAGTATGCCTGGATTATCGCCCTCTGAATATAAAATAGTTTGCCTTTAAATTTTTTTTTGGTTTATTTTTTAAAGATTTGTTTATTAGTGCGTACAAGAACTGGGGTACAGGCCAGAGGTATGGGGCGTGGGAGGATTCACCAGAGAATGAGTGGGGAACAGACAGGCAGATTGACTGAAATACTGCTGAGGAGATCAGTGGGCAAGTCAGGAGAGGTCTGCTGGGCCATGTGGGTCACCTCCCTGGCCGGGTTCAAACTCGTGCTGCACCGGCTGCCAATAGCTTCATAGTGCTGCATCTTAACCCCTTGCACCACCAGGGAAACCCCACCCCCCAAAAAAAATATTTTTTGTAAATTTTTAAAAATTAATTTTAAAAACTCACTAGCTTATAAAAGACTAGTTGGAGCTAAATCGTATTTCTGGCAGCTAGAGCAAGATAAGTCTACCCCCTCAGATAGCTGAAGTTTTTTACCAATATTTCCGAAAAAGACTTAATTTTTTTATTTGCCTTTATTAAATAATCTTACAGAGGTTATGCACTATATTTTGGATGATGAATGGCATCGATATATCAAAGTAGCATCTGGGTTTTTAAAAACCTTTTCTTTTTTCTTCTTTTTCCCCCTCCAAAATCAGGGGCTATTTTGGTCAACAGTTATCTCCATAGCTGTTTACATTTCAAAGAGTAATATTTCCAGGGGACTGAAAAATAATGTGAGTTTTATCTAAGAAGGAACTCATTGGCGTATTTGCCTATTATCAGAAATCTAGGGTAAATAATACTCACAGACCTTTTTTTTTCCCTCAAGACAAAGACAATCAATTGTCCGATGATTTTTTTTTTTTTTTTTTTTTTTTTTTTGGCAGTGGAAACCCAAATTACAGGAAGGCCTGATCATGGGTGATTCTACTTACAGAATAAGGGGCAGTAACTGTAGCCTTCTTGTGCGCTCTGGAGCTTTGTCAAAGCATTTCCTGACTATCAGTATTTACATAAGTTCCACACCTGCTTAAGCACCTTTTACAGTGTTTGAACTTACTGTTGAGTCTGATATCCACCTCCTGCTCTTGCCACGGAAGCATTTTTGGGTTTTTCCTTTTTTCCCCCATACACTAGCCAAGGCATTCTTCTTTTTTTTTTTTAAGATTTATTTATTTATGCATTCAAGAACTGGGGTACAAAACAGAGGTATGGAGGGGAGAGGATCCACCAGAGACAGAGTGGGGAGCAGAACAGGCAGCTTGAATGAAATACACTGCTGAGGGGATAGCAGGCATCCACAAGAGTTCTGCTGTGCCATGTGGGTAGCTCCCTGGGCGGGGATTGAACTCATGCTACTGGCTGCCAATAGCTTCATAGTGCTGAGTCTTAACCCCTTGCACCACCAGGGTGTGGCCCCCCCAGAAAATTTTTTTTGTAAATTTTTTTAAACACGTTTTTTAAAAAAATGTATTTATTTTTATACAAGTGCTGGAGTATAGGCCAGAGGTGCAGGAGGGTGAGAGGACCCACCAGAGGCAGGGCAGGGAGCACAACAGGCAGCGACAGAAATACACTGCTGAGGGGAGCAGCGGGCATGACAGAAGAGTTCTGCTGTGCCATGTGGGATCCTCGTTGGCCAGCTGGGATCGATCCCGCACTGCAGAGGCTGCGGCACGCCTCACAGTGCAGCGCTCAACCCACTGCATTACCGGGGAGGCTCTTTTTTGTAAATTTTAAAAATTAATTTTAAAAATTCACTACCTTGTAAAAGACTAGTTGGAGCTAAATGGTGTTTCTGGCAGCTAGAGCAAGCTAAGGCTACACCCTCAGATAGCTAAAGCTTTTTACCAATATTTCTGAAGAAGACTTCATTTTTTTTTATTTGCCTTTATTAAATAATCTTATAGAGGCTATGCACTATATTTTGGGTGATGAATGGCATCGATATATCAAAGTAGCATTTGGGTTTTTAAAAACCTTTTCTTTTTGCTTCTTTTTCCCCTCCAAAATTGGGCTATTTTGGTCAACAGTTATTTTCTTAGATGTTTACATTTCAAAGATTAATATTTCCGGGGGACTGAAAAAGACTGCAAGTTTTAACTAAGAAGGAACTCATTGACATATTTGTCTATTATTGAAATGCAGGATAAATAATATTCACAGAACTTTTTTTGTTTTTCGTTTTTTTTTAATATAGAGGCATGTTTTATTTGTTTGTTTATTTATTTGTTTATTTGTTTTTGTTTTTACATGCACTGGGTACAGTCAGAAGTGCAGGAGGGTGAGAGAGCTCACCAGAGCCAGAGCGGGGAGCAGAGCAGGCAGAAGGACCGAAGTACACTGCTGAGGGGAGCAGCAGGCGGCAGGAGAGGTCTGCGCGCCATGTGGGACCCTCCTCCGGTGGCCGGGGAGCAGCCGGGGATCGAACCGGTGCTGCAGAGTCCGCGGGCAGCTTCGCAACCCAGCGCTCAACCACTGCGCCACCGGGGAGGCCCTCATAGAAATTTTTTTTTCCTCAAGAGAAAGACAATCAATTGTCCGATGATTTTTTTTTTTTTTTTTTTTTTTGGCAGTGGAAACCCAAATTACAGGAAGGCCTGATCACGGGTGATTCTGCTCACAGAATAAGGGGCAATAACTGTAGCCTTCTTGTGTGTTCTGGATCTTTGTCAAAGCAATTTCCCGACTATCAGTATTTACATAGGTTCCACAACTGCTTAAACACATTTTACAGTTTTTGAACTTATTGTGAGTCTGAATTCCACCTCCTGTTCTTGCTACGGAAGCATTTTTGGGTTTTTCCCTTTTTTCCCCATGCACTAGCCAAGGCATTCTTCTTCTTTTTTTTTTTTTAAAGATTTATTTATTTATGCATACAAGAACTGGGGTTCGGGCCAGAGGTGTGGGGGTCTGAGATGATCCACCAGAGACAGAGTGGGGAGCAGAACAGGCAGCTTGACTTACATACACTGCTGAGAGGAGCATCGGGGGAGTCAGGAGAGGTCTGCTGTGCCATGTGGGTCATCTCCCTGAACCAGGGATCAAACTCGTACTGCACTGGCTGCCAATAGCTTCATAGTGCTAAGTCTTAACCTCTTGCGCCACCAGGGAGCAACCCCCCAAAAAACATATTTTGTAAATTTTTTAAACACATTTTTTGTTTAAAGATGTATTTATTTTTATACAAAAGCTGGGGTAAAGGCCAGGGCCAGGGGAGGGTGAGAGGATCCACCAGAGACAGAGTGGGGAGCAAAACAGGCAGCTTGTCTGAAATACATTGCTGACAGGAGCTGTGGGTGAGTCAGGAGAGGTCTGCTGCGCCATGTGGGTAGCTCCCTGGCCAGGGATTAAACTCGTGCTGCAGTGGCTGTGGATAGCTTCGTAGGTTGCGTCTTAGCCCCTTGCCCCACCAGGGAGGCCCCCGCCAAGGCATTCTTCTCTATTTACCTTTTTTCCCTCAATTTTCCTTTCCGTGGATACAAATAGAAGGTTTATTTAGGATTAGAGCACTGTAAAAAGTCCTTTTAAATATAGAAACCCACATCTTCAAAGGAATACCTTTTCTAATGGTGACTCCAAACAAATAAGTCTTTTCTGGTTTAAAATGGACACAAGAGGTGTCCCCCAAAGGGGTGCAAAGGAAATAGCCTTCTCAAGATCCAGAGTCACTCAAAGAGCGCCTAAGAAAGCAAAAACCTTGATTGTTGCTGGTGGTATAGACACTTCAGTTGCTCACAAAGTGAGACACTGTGGAGACAGCCTGTGTTGAGCTTTAACAGTTGTCATTAATGACCTTTAAATATTTGTAAATATAAAATCAGATGTAAACTGGTGGCTCTCCTAATGATCCTGAATATTCTAATTCATTTTCTTAAATCACCATCAAAGTAAAAACACAAAGGTTTTAATATAAATTTAAGGTATTTGACTGCCAATAATGGCTAACCAGAAACTTCTGCAGGCTACCACTAAGTTGAGAAAATGTCACTGGGCCTGAGAATTTGGGTATTTCCAGCCTCAATCACATGCTTACTCATGTGCCTGGAAGGATCTATAGCTTGATGGTGCAGCATTTAGGGGTTTGGGTCCCAGCCCAGCTGCTCACTAGCACTGTGAACACAGATGTTACTTAATTCTCTATGCTTCAGTTTCCTCTTCTGTAAAATGGAGACAGTAATTCATGTTTCATACAGTCGGAAGAACTGAGATACCGCATGCAAAGTATTTATGAGATTGCATGGTACATATTTAGGGCTCAAAATGCTAACTGTTGTTCTAAGAAACCTAAAAAGATAGAGATGACAAGACCCATGGACTGAGACCCTTTGTTTTATTTATTTATTTATTTATTTTTTTAACGATCCATTAATTTATGCATACAAGAACTTGGGTACAGGCCAGAGGTGTGGGGGGTGAGAAGATTCACCAGAGACAGAGCAGGGAAGAGAACAGGCAGACTGAATGAAATACACTGCTGAGGGGAGCGGCGGTCGAGTTAGGGGAGTTCTACTGTGCCATGTGGGTAGCTCCTTGGCCTAGCTACTTTGCCGGGGATTGAACATGTGCTTCAGTGGCATGGATAGCTTCCTAGGTTGCATCTGTGGAATACATATATATTAAATATATATATATATATATATATAATTTTAAGTGAAAAACATGACTAGGCCATATTAAATGCATAGAAAAAATTTATAAAAATGAGTGTTAATCAAAGGTCAGAGTTTGTTTTCAGTTGTGTAAAATGTTCGTTTGGGTCTTTTTCTTATAGTTTCTCAAATTCATTATAAAGTGGGAGAAAGTTCCTATTTTGGAAACAGCGCTGCTTCCCACTTCTTCATGGGCTGATTCTTCCAACAATGTCATTTCATCATTCCATGTAGCTTGATTTGAGAAAAAAAAATTTTAAAAATTAGTCAACCCACCACCTTTCCTGTTCTCCTTATATCTCAAGAGGTGGAGCTGCCAAACCACTAAGAGGAAGAGGAAGTTAAGCGCTTTAAATACCAGGGGTGACTGGGGATGCTCAGCTGGACATCTGGCTTCCCAGGCAACATGAAGGCTTTCCTTATTCTCGGACTTCTCCTCTTTGCCATCACTGTCCAAGGCAAGGTCTTTCAAAGATGCGAGTTGGCCAGAACTCTGAAAAGATTTGGAATGGATGGCTACAGGGGAGTCAGCCTGGCAAATTGTAAGTCCACTTCATACTTCCATAAGCCAAGTGTGGGTAAGATATTAGAAGATGAACAGTAAGAGTGGCGATTTGAATGAATGGGCTTTTAAAATTTTTTTGAAAGCTTGTTTTCTTACATTCCTCAAAAACATCCAATTGAGGGGACAAGGGGTAAGAAGAAGAAAGAAAGAAACACAATGGGTCTATGGTGGAGGAATGTTAGTAAATGCGTGGTGAAATATGGGTAAGTGCCTGGTGGTGATACCTATGGGCTACCCCGATATTACCTCAACTAAATATTAAAAAACAAATATCAAATTGTTCCTTTAGAATCAGAAATGCCAAATGAAGGAATGAGGAGGGCACAGGGAGTGAGCCAGGGCCCCTGTACCCTTCTGGTGCCCGCTGTCCCTGACTCAACACAGCTAGGCTGACTGAGAGCTGCATTTGGGAACTCAAGACATCTCTGTTAAGTTCTAGTACTTGACTCGAGTCATTTCCATTCGGGCATTTGGATTCTGTGAGCCTAGAGTAATGCCGTGTTTCCTTTGTCTTTCTCCTTCCATGAAGTGGGATTTTTACCAGCAAAGTTTAAAAAAATTATTTTGCACTCTTAGTACTAGAGCAGTAAGAATCCATTTCCTCTCAGTCACTGTCAGGGGAACTCTGAAATGCAGCATGAAATGTCCTATTACTCTTACTCCCAGTTAGTTAATTAATACTTTTCAGTTTCCTCCATCCAATTCATGATGTGCCCTGAATGAAAGTTATGTTATATTTAATCAATATTTGTCAGTGTAATCACTGCACTTTTTTTTTTTTTAATATTTATTTATTTATTTATACAAGCACTGGGTGCAGTCAGAAGCGCGGGAGGGTGAGAGAATTCACCAGAGCCAGAGCGGGGAGCAGAGCAGGCAGAAGGACTGAAGTACACTGCTGAGGGGAGCAGCGGGCGGCAGGAGAGGTCTGCGCGCCATGTGGGACCCTCCTCCGGCGGCCGGGGAGCAGCCGGGGAGCGAACCGGCGCTGCAGAGGCCGCGGGCAGCTTCGCAACCCAGCGCTCAAATGCTGCGCCACCGGGGAGGCCCTTTTTACTTTGTATTGATTAGTCTTTTTCCTAGTCTCTTATTTAGGTTTTCTAAATTCCTGCTATGAGTGAGACCATCCGATATTTTTCTATTTCTCTCTGACTTATTTCGCTGAGCATGATCCCTTCTAGCTCCATCCATTTTGCTGCAAACTCCATGTGTTTATCTTTTTTGATTGCTGAGTAATATTCCATGGTGTATATGTACCACATCTTCTTGATCCAGTCATCTATTTTTGGGCATTTGGGTTGTTTCCGTAGCTTAGCTATTGTAAATAGTGCTGCTATAAACACAGGCTTGCAGGTGCCCTTTGGAATTACTGTTTCTGTGTCCTTTGGGTAAATACCTAGGAGTGGAATTGCGGGTTCATATGGAAGCTCTATGTTTAGTAGGTCAAGCAATCTCCACACAGCTCTCCATAGAGAAAACTATTAATCTTTTGATTGAATGTGTGGATGTTTATGGGAATGGATGAATCTCTATCTTGTTTTCCAGATTCTAATTTGATATCCAAATTCATTTTCAGGTGTTATAAGAAAACATTTCTCTCAGAAAATCCTCATTTTTCCTAATAACATTTGTCCATCAGCATATGTATTGCCATTAATTGCAAAATTCACTCAACAACTCTGTTGATTTTTCTATTCTAGGCTGAAACTTGCCTGAGGGTGGAGAGTCAGGAAAGGGCAATGACAATAACAGAAACAGTTATTTTAATATTTTTAAGTGTGTTATCTTGCTTCATTGGTATTAAAAATGATTTGCTAAAAAAAGGATTCTATTAAGGATCCTTCAACACTGAAGGTTTAAAACAGTTTACAAACAAAATACTTCTTTATACTTATAAATTAAGTTACTAGAAAAATAGAATTAGCTAAATAGAGCTGATTATGATATGCAGTATAACTCACCTGTTGCTGTTTATTACTAAAAATACATTCTTTTCAGGGATGTGCTTGGCTAAATGGGAAAGTGGTTATAACACGCGAGCTACAAACTACAATCCAGGAGGCAGAAGCACCGATTATGGGATATTTCAGATCAACAGTCGCTGGTGGTGTAATGATGGAAAAACCCCAGGGGCCGTCAATGCCTGTGGTATTTCCTGCAACGGTAAGACAATAGCATTGTAAGACAAGATAGAGATTCAGTGTAAATGGAAAAGTCTTGACCTAGAAAAACTCCACCTCAACTTCTAGAAACTGTTATTCTCTCATAAATCCTTATATAAGAAATTAAAGAGTCACTATAATAAAGGCTTGCTGTTTTCTAATACATGAATGTTCCTGGGATGACCTATTAATTTATTATAAATGGACTTACTGATATTTTGTCAATAAGAGAGCAATTCCTCCAACTTACTTTGCGGAACTTAAAGGATAATTTGGTTGCTTAGTTCTTTTTTAAAATTGTATTTACATTCTATTATAAAATGTTCTAAATCTAGAGAAAATTAGAGGCACTTTTGTCATAAATGGCCATATGCACATGCCCATTACATTATGTTAAAGTTGTTGCTCTTTTTTTTTTTTTTTTTTTTTTAAAGATTTATTTATTTATTTATACAAGCACTGGGTACAGTCAGAAGCGCGGGAGGGTGAGAGAATTCACCAGAGCCAGGGCAGGGGGCAGAGCAGGCAGAAGGACCAACGTACACTGCTGAGGGAAGCAGCGGGCGGCAGGAGAGGTCTGAGCACCATGCGGGACCCGCCCTGGGGCCAGGGATCAAACCGGTGCTGCAGAGGCTGCGGGTAGCTTTGCAACCCAGCTCTCAACCGCTGGCCACCAGGGGAGGCCCTCTTTTGTCATTTTCATTTCTTTTATGCAGACTTGCTGAATGACTTTAAACTGAATTAGAAACATGACACTCCATTTCTAAATTTTTATAAAGATTTATTTATTTATGTATGCAAAAACTGGGGTATAGGCCAAAGTATGAGGGGTGAGAAGATTCACCAGAGACAGAGTGGGGAGCAGAGCAGGTGGATTTACTGAAATACACTGCAGGCCAGACAGGAGAGGTCTGCTGTGCCATATGTGGATTAGCTCCTTGGCCCTGGATCTAACTCAGGGCAATATATCCCTGAGACTTAACCCCCAGGCACCAGGGAGGTCCCGGGTGCATTTCTTACTACTTCTTTAGGATAAATTTCAAGTAGTAGAATTGCTGGTTTATTATTTGTTTGTTTGTTTTTTTAACGGTGCCTAGTTTTCCCTCAATATTCACAGACACTGGAAAATAATTTCAGTGTTCTTTCCTTAGCCTAAATGAATAAAGCTGGCTAAACCTAAACTTAAAATGGAACGTCTAAGAAAGTGGTTTTCCCTCCTTACCACTTCTTTTTCAGCTTTACTTCAAGATGACATCACCGAAGCTGTTAACTGTGCAAAGAGGGTTGTCAGAGACCCACAAGGCATTGGAGCATGGTAGGTTTTCAACATCAAAGGGGAAAGCTATTGTACTCAGTTATTGTGAGAGAAGATTTTCAGAGTCCAGAGTATGCTACTGAGAACTTAAAATCGTAGCTTTAGACTTCTGCTAAACAATGTACTACCTAGAAACAGTCCACTTTTACTGATTCAGAATCTTACTCCTTTAAGCCTCAACTTATTTTATTTTTTTGGAAGATTTATTTATTTATGCATACAAGAACTGGGGAAGGGCCAGAGGTGTGGGGTGGGTGTGGTGGTGAGAGAATTCACCAAAGACAGAGTGGGAAACAGAGCAGGCCGACTGACTGAAATACACCGCTGAGGGGAGCTGTGGGCAAGTCAGGAGAGGTCTACTGTGCCATGTGTGTAGCTCCCTGGCTGGGGACCCAACTCATGCTGCAGTGGCTGCGGATTTCTTCTTAGGTTGCATCTTAACCCCTTGTGCCACCAGGGAGGCCCTGCCTCAACTTATTTTAGGGGATTTCCAGAATTTTTGTAACTCTCCAGCTCCTACTTGTATCTTGAAATTGTTTTTGGAACTAAGGAATGCACTTAGCAGTTGCTGTTGTCAAATGCACATAGCTGTTCACCACTCTATGCTCTAGTGAAGGCTTGGAGGAGAAATGAAGCTCTTTCTTTACATTTTTCCATTTTCTAAATAGCAAACCAGGACCTAGCTATAGCCTGTATTTCATTTACATTAAAGAGTTTATTTTCCCAAAGGAATTAATGTGTCTGTTTTACAGTGAAGATGTGTTTAAGCTGATCACTGTTTCTCCTTCCTTTACAGGGTGGCATGGAAAAGCCATTGTAGAAACAGAGATGTCAGTCAGTACATAAGTGGTTGTGGAGTTTAACTGCAATTTCCCTTCTTCAGCTCATTTTGTTTCTTTGCATATGGAGTAGCAGTTGAGGGGAAGGTCACAATACCTTTTTTTTTTTTTCCAAACAAATTGCTTTTAAACAGAAGTAGAAACAAAATACGGTCTTTCCCCTAAGAGACGCAATATCTACTAATGTGTTTATTATTTTATATGAAGCCTACAAGATATTTCAGTTTACTAACAGAATGACTGTGAAATTTTAGACTATCCATACATTTCCAGTACATTTCCAGGCTCTCTAGCCCTAAGGACTTTAAGACCAGTGTTGCACAGTGGCCTCACAGGAAACCCAAGATACAGAACAGCTTTTCTTGAAGAGATTGGTAGTTGTGGCCTTTATGCTAATGGAAAGGAGTTTTTAAATGTTGCTTTTATAGCTTTAGAAATAAAATCACAATTTATATATATCAATCTGTTTTCTTCCTTTAAAGAACTCTTCTATGCATCTGGCTTGGATCGAAAGGATTAGTTGAGCTGTTGCTGGTTTAGTGTTATTGACCTAGAGTCATGCATTGTCACCAAACACAGAGACAGATGAATTTGCAGAAACTGAAATAATTGTAATTAATCACAGATGTGAAATTACACATGTTGTAAACAAGACATTTTTTTCATTAAAGGCTTTGCAACTCATACTTTGTCTTTGTTTGTTCAAACCCATGTGATCTCTGAAGAAAAAAAATATTGGGGAAATAAAAAGATTTGGTACTTTTACTATTTCCTCTATCCCTAGTGGAACCTAAAGAGCTAGAGAAACAATCCACATATGTTACAGGGCCCCTGTATTTGGCTTGCTGTTTGTGTTATTGGATTAACCTGGTGCTAGTTCCGTCTACTTTTGTTGACAACCTGATGTTTATTACTAAAAATACATTCTTTTCAGGGAAGTGCTTGACTAAATGGGAAAGTGGTTATAACACTCGAGCTTCAAACTGCAATCCAGGAAGCAGAAGCACCGATTATGGGATATTTCAGATCAACAGCCACTGGTGGTGTAATGATGGAAAAACCCGAGGGGCACTCAATGCCTGTGGTATATCCTGCAACGGTATCCTGATGGACTTCAGAGTGAGGGAGAAAGGGTACAAACTTGAGATGATGTAAAGCATCTGTGTGTGCTTAAAGGTTCTGATGCCTTGCTTACAAAACCTGACGACCAATATGCTGCTGCCCTGTCCTGGTGATCAACCACATAAAACCAGAACTCCCATTCCTCTCTACTTGGGAGTATGACTCAGGACACTTGTCTCTCTTCCCCCATTTTTTTTTTAGAGGAAGAATTTTTTTTTTAAAGATTTATTTCTTATTTATACAATAGCTGGGGTACAGGCCAGAGGCACAGGAAGATTCACCAGAGACAGAGTGGGGAGCAGAACAGACAGACAGACCCAAAGCACTGCTGAGGGGAGCAGCAGGTGCTACAGGAGAGGTCTTCTGCAACACATGGGAATCCCCTGGGGGCCGGAAATGGAACCCACACCACAGGGGCTGCAACAGCTCCACAGGGCTGTGCTCAACCTGCTGAGCCACTGGGGAGGCCCTTCCCCTATTTTTTTTTTAAGGTTTTTTATTTATGCATACAAAAGCTGGGGTACAGGGCAGAGATGTGGGAGGTGAGAGGACTCACTAGATACAGATATGGGAACAGAACAGGCAGAGTGACAGATATCCACTGCTGAGGGCAGCAGCGGGTGAGACAGGAGAGGTCTGCTGTGCCATGTGGGTCACCTCCCTGGCTGGGGATGGAACTTGTGCTGCAGTGCCTGTCAATAGTGCTGAGACTTAATCCTTTGCACCACCAGGGAGGCCCTTCCCCTATTGTTTATCCACAATAAATGTTCTTCTATTGACACCTTTAACTGGCTGTAGAGTCAGGAAGACTACAGTGCAGGTTTTCTATGATCCAGCAGACGCAGTAAAGGAGGAGTCCTGGAACCCTCAGGGTTTTGCAGGTTTTTCTTGGGATTACCACGTACATGGCAGGCAGGGGCGCTGGGGGGGCCAGGAGGCTGGCAGTCCTCCTAGCCCCCAGCAAATCCTCACTCTCTCTGGGCTCTCTGGCGTTCTCTGCTTCTGCTTCTTTGCTTCTCTCTCGGCTTCTCTTCGGCTTCTGCTGGCATCCCCATGACACCGCCCTTAAAAGCACAGTCTCAGGGCCTCCCTGGTGGCGCAGCAGTTGAGCGCTGGGCTCCCCGGCCACTGGAGGAGGGTCCCCCATGGCGCGCAGACCTCTCCTGCCGCCCACTGCTCCCTCAGCAGTGTACTTCGGTCCTTCTGCCTGCTCTGCTCCCCGCTCTGGCTCTGTTGAATTCTCTCACCCTCCCGCACTTCTGACTGTACCCAATAAATAAATAAAACATGCCTCTATAAAAAAAAAAAAAAAAGCCTAGTCTCAGCCTAGGTGAATCCCATCTACCTACGCCCACACCCTACTCCAGGTGCCCACCATCAGGCATGCATTCAGGACCGCAAGGATCCATCACCTATCCTGATGGTGGGAGGGCAGAAAAGCCTGACATTTTTCTTTACCCTACACTGGCTATCAAAGTTTTTGTGTGGTTAGTTGGTGAAAGAGAGACAATGGCCCTTCAGAATTGGTAACAATTTGGTGACTAGGAAGGGACGGGGCCTCTGTCTCTTGAGACCATTCCTCCAATTTTCTTGATGACAGGACTGGCTGCTGACCACCCTAGAAGACCCCAGGGGTTGCAAAAACTCTTTTGTTCTAAAATCCTCCAGGGAGGTAACTGGCACTGTCCTTGTGGCTTGGCTTAAATTTACTTTCAGTGTCAGGAAAGACAGGGTAGAGAACGCTTGAGTGAGTTGAGTGAAGCCCTTTTGGCTCACTGAAGGAGCAAAAGGGGCTGTAGGGCATTCCAGGCAGCCTATCTGCAGGCACCCCACTGATATGCTAAGGAAAGGAACAATTTGGAAAATTAGGTAAGCTAGGAAAATGGAGATTTTCTTTACCTCCTCCTACATCTGGGAATATCTGGACCCGCACTATGAAGATGGACAACACAGTTTGGAAGTCAGTAGCTTTTTAGAAAAGTCTATGAAAAGGTCTTTGAGAGAATTCTGTGAGGAAAAGATTCAGAGAACATCTTGTGAGAAAATAGTTTACTCCCAAAATATTAGTTTGTAGGGGTTAACAATTTGGAAAATCTAAGGAAAAAAATGCATAAAGAGAGAATTTTTGTGAAAAGTAAGGATATGTCTTTTCTCACTTTGTCTTGTCTAATATATAGAATTCATATATAATTGGGGTATAGATGACACACATGAATTCTCAACTCAAGAATATTGTAGCAACTAACTCAAAATATTTAAGAAGTCACTGGAGGGACTCCCCGGTGCCCTAGTGGTTGAGCGCTGGGTTGTGAAGCTGCCTGCAGCCTCTGCAGCGCCGGTTCGATCCCTGGCTGCTCCCTGGCCACCGGAGGAGGGTCCCACATGGCGCGCAGACCTCTCTTGCCGCCCGCTGCTCCCCTCAGCAGTGTACTTCGGTCCTTCTGCCTGCTCTGCTCCCCACTCTGGCTCATTCTCTCACCCTCCGGCGCTTCTGACTGTACCCAGTGCTTGTATAAATAAATAAATAAATCTTAAAAAAAAAAAAAAAGTCACTGAAATACTTTTTGGTTAATAAGAATTAGTTCAAACCTTAATTTTTAGGGGCCTCCCTGGTGGCGCAAGGGATTAAGACACAACCTATGAAGATAGCCACAGCCACTGCAGCACAAGTTTGATCCCCGGCCAGGGAGCTGCCCACATAGTCCAGCAGACCTCTCCTGACTCACCTGCTGCTCAGCAGTGTATTTCAGTCAATCTACCTGTTCTGTTCCGCACTCTGTCTCTGGTGAATCCTCTCATCCCCCACACCTCTGACCTGTACCCCAGTTCTTGTATGCATAAATAAATCTTAAAAAAATAAAACCTTAATTTTTAAAGCTTGCATGTCTTTAAAATGACAAATAATACTATTTACTAATCAGAATTAATTCAATTATTCAACAAAGAAAAGTAACTGACTTGGTCTCACAAAGTTTTTTGACTAATAAGTGAGATCATCCGGTAGTTTTCTTTTTCTTTGTGGCTTATTTCACTGAGCATGATCCCTTCCAGCTCCATCTCTGTTGCTGCAAATGGCATGAGTTTATCTGTTTTGATTGCTGAGTAATATTCCATTGTGTTTATGTACCACATCTTCTTGATCCAGTCATCTACCAAAATCAACAGGCAAATATAAACCAGAGACACATTACAGTGAGGGGGAAATAATTTTGTGGGTTTTTTTTTTTTTAAGATTTATTTATTTATTTATACAAGCACTGGGTACAGTCAGAAGCACGGGAGGGTGAGAAAATTCACCAGAGCCAGAGCGGGAACAGTACAGGCAGACCGACGAAATAAACTGCTGAAGGGAGCAGTGAGCGCAGCATGAGAGGTCTGTGCGCCATGTGGGACCCTCGCCTGTGGCCGGGAATCCAACCGTTGCTGCAGAGAGGCTGGGGGCAGATTCCCAGTCCAGGGATCAACCGCTGCGCCACCGGGGGAGGCCCGGGAAATCATTTTAATTTTACCAAGTTTACGAATCCTCAGTGTTGTGAGATAGCTCTACAAGGTTAGATTGGATATAACCAACCTCCCCATGCCCCCTCTTCACATGCAACCACTTTTTTTCTCTTTCAACTTAATATTTTAAATGATTTTAAATCTAATTAATGCTTTTAGGTATTATCAATAGGTTTATATTGCTCCTTTTTTTTTTTAAAAGATTTATTTATGCATACAAGAGCTGGGGTACAGGCCAGAGGTTTGTGTGTGGGGTGGGGTGAGAGGATTACCAGAGACAGAGTGGAGAACAGAACAGGCAGATTGACCAAAGTACACTGCTGAGGGGAGCATCGGGTGAGGCAGGAGAAGTCTGCTGCTCTATATGAGTAGCTCCCTGGCGGGCCGGGGATAGAGCTTGTGTTGCAGAGTTGAGGATTGTTTCATAGGTTGCGTCTTAACCCCTTGCACCACCAGGGAGGCCCTATATTGCTCCTTCTTGATGTTTATTTTTGGTTACTAAGTTCCCACTATAGACGTTAAGGATTAAACTCTTTCTTCCACATTTCACATACAGCAAACTTCCCCAAAGCCCATGCTTCCAATGTAAACATATATTTTCTTAAGATTTTTATTTTTTTAATACAAGAACAAGGGTACAGGCCAGAGGTGCGGGAGGGTTAGAGGATTCACGAGAGACAAGAGTGGGGAACAGAACAGGCAGACTGCGTGAACTACACTGCCGAGGAAAGCAGCGGGCCAGACAGGAGAGGTCTGCCGCGCCACCTGGGTATCTCCCGGGCCAGCGGGGATCGAACCCGCGCCGCAGAGGCTGCGGACAGCTTCACAGCGCAGCGCTGTTCCCGCTGCGCCACTAGGGAGGCCCCGTATCATTTTTTGGTTAGATGGATATGCAGTACTTATAGAGCCATAACTCAATTACTTTCCTATACATGATTTCATCTTCCTAGCTGTAACGGCAGCGCGTCCCTAAATTTCCTTAGCTGGGCTGACCACAGGCTGACCGCGGACTCCGGGGTCGCGGCGGACGCCCCAGACTCAGCCGCCCTCCCCGCGCGGCGCGGCCCCACGCATGCGCAGATTTTGCGCGCGCCCGCCCGCCCGTCGCGCCTGCGCACGCGCCGCCGCCGGCCTCCTTCCGCTCCCTCTCCCCGCGCGCAGCTGAATGGGCTTCCGGGCCGCCTCCCGCCGTGAGGAGTTGGCGGTTCCTCCGCGCCGCTCGCCCCGGCCTCGCCCGCCCTCGGCCAGAAGCGCTCGGTCTGGGCCCGCGCGGGAGGAGCGGGGGCTCTGAGGGGAGCGGCGACCCCGCCGGCCCCGGTGTGTTTCCCTGGCGGCGGCGGCTTCTTCCGTGGGACAATATGTTCAAGAGAATGGCCGAATTTGGGCCTGACTCCGGCGGGAGAGTGAAGGTCAGTGCCCGGCCCGCGCTAGCCCCGGGGCGCTCGGCGCCGCCCCTCTGCGCGGCGTGGGGCGGGCCCGCCGGCCCCTCGCGCCCGCCCGCCCCTCGCGCCCGCCCGCCCCTCGCGCCCGCCCGCCCCTCGCGCCCGCCCGCCCCTCGCGCCCGCCCTGCTCGGGGTGGAAGCGTCGCTTCAAGGCGGAGAGCGAGGCGAGCTCCCGAGCGAAGAGTCAGTGTTCATTGGGCCCCAGGTTGGGCGCGTCAGCATCACCCGTCCGTCCGCGCCAAAACAAAACAGAAAAACAATCTAACGGCCTGGGGAAAGCTGTACATACATATTTTAATTAAAAAGATTTATTTATGCATACAAGAACTGGGGTACAGGCCAGAGGTGTGGGGGGTGAGAGGATTCACCACAGACAGAGTGGGGAGCAGAACAGGCAGATTGGCTGAAACACACTGCTGAGGGGAGCAGCAGGCAATCCAGGAGAGGTCTGCTGCGCTGTGTGGGTAGCTCCCTTGGCGGGGATCCTACTCATGTTGCAGTGGCTGCGGACAGCTTCATAGGTTGCATCTTAACCCCTTGCACCACCAGGGAGGCCTGGCCAGCTTCTTTCTTATTTAAAGTCAGTATTACAGTAACACAACTGTACCTGATATGTTTGACACAGATGCATTTTCCTACCTCCCTGGTACATTAATTTTTTTTTTAAAGATTGATTTATTTATTTGTTTGTTTTGTTTTGTTTATACATACAAGCACTGGGTACAGTAAGAAGCTCGGGAGGGTGAGAGAATTCACCAGAGCCAGAGCGGGGAGCAGAGCAGGCAGAAGGACCGAAGTACACTGCTGAGGGGAGCAGCGGGCGGCAGGAGAGGTCTGTGCACCATGTGGGACCCTCCTCTGGTGGCCGGGGAGCAGCCGGGGATTGAACCGGTGCTACAGAGGCTGCGGGCAGCTTCGCAACCCAGCGCCACCGGGGAGGCCCTGGTACATTAATTTTTAAGGCAAGAAGAACCGGTTCATGATAACACCTATGTTTTGCAGAAAGGCGCTTTTTCTCTGAAAGAGAATCATCTACTTGTGCCTACCTAATCTTTGGGTTTATTTGCGTCCTTATCCATGGCATGTTTTAACATAATTTTAGTTATACTCTAGTAAACTACCTTACCAGTGCTTAAATAGCACATGTCAAGTGGGAGTTCTTCCAAAATTTCAAAAGGTGCTGAAATTTAATGGAGGGTAAAGCATGCCAGGTAAAAATATGAGAAGTTTCATCAATATGTTTCTCTCAACTTTGGGCAAGGTTTTGGACTGAGGAAACTACAAAGAAAGTGTTAAAATATTACATTTTAGAGAAGCTACAGAACTTTCTCTACTTGTAATCTATGTTCGATTTGTAAATTTCAGTCAAGTCACTTGAGGTTAGACTTGAGGTTAGTGACTTAAAGTGGGTGGGTGTGAGTTAATCAAGTTAATCTAGTTAACCACTAGAAGTGGGTGTGAGTTAATCAATTAGAGCCTTACAATTACTTCTTGCTGATGGTTTTGCAGTGTGGCATCTTTTTTCAGTTCAGTTAAATTTCATCCAGGTAACAAATCTTGATAAATGATGCCCCTTTTCACCAGTGAGGAACTCTGCAAGTTCTTGAAAGAAGGTAGCTGCTAGGGGTTGGATTATACATCCACCATGTCAGTGCTGCTTGTACTCATTCTGTCAGGCCTTGAAACAGCTCCATCTGTGCTTGCCACAAAAGTGTCAATAGCATATCCATATTTTTTTTCAGTTTTCATAAAAACTGCTTGCTATCTTCTGACCTAGCTTTAGGCTAAGAGGTGTTCATTTTAATTGCTGATTATTCAGTCACAATGAAAAGTTTTCCATTTTGTTCATTTTCCTCATTTTTTATTATTGATTAGATTGGCACAGCACTTTTCATGTGTGTTATGTCTTGCTCTTTGTTCTTCAGGTACATTCTTGAAAAACTGATTTCAAGTTCATGTGCAGCATCCCGTATTTTCTCTTCACTCAATTTATCTCTCCTTTCCATCATAATCTATCAATTACTCATTGCCTTTATATTTGCCAGATGCTGAGAAACATGTATGTACATCTCAGAAGTGAGCACTAATGTAGCAAACAAACCATCACCAGTTTTTACCAAGTTTCAGTTGTCAGGTGCCACTCACCAATATTTGAATCCAATTGTGATTAGTATTTTTATCTAAATCAATTTTATAAAAACCCCTTCCTATGCAACATTTTTTAATATTGTGGGTTTTGAGTTTCTGATTAGTTATGGTTTCAGAAGCAAACTCTAGTTTGTTCGACTACCTGCCATTCCTTAAAACAAGCTTTCCAAACTCTCATTCTGTTTTTGGGTAATGACAATAATTGTTGATCTTTAAATTATTTTTCTTTTAGGGGGTTACTATTGTTAAACCAATAGTTTATGGTAATGTTGCTCGGTATTTTGGAAAGAAAAGAGAAGAGGATGGCCACACCCATCAGTGGACAGTCTATGTAAAGCCATACAGAAATGAGGTAGGCACTTAATTTTTCTACAATTTTTAAAATTTGTTTTGCTTGAAGATGAGTTGTAATGTTTTCATAGTACCTTTCTAATCATAAAATTGGTGCATTGTACAAATGTTGCAAAGAGTTGCAAGATTAAAGAACTATTATCTTCACATAGTTCTTAATAGAAGTCAAATGTTCCAGAAATATTTTGTCATTAAACTACAGTAGCAAGAGGTATGCTGTCAACACAGTACATCTTCCAAACATCATGTTTCAGTGAGCATAGTATTTAATCAGGTGTTTCAGGAATAGCGATTAATACTTTTGAAGTGATAATTTGGTAGTAAGATTATTTCAGAGAAAATGGAACATATATCTACATAATCTGACTGCTGGTAATTTTAGCTGCTAAACATCTAGTGCCTGGAATGCAGCCATTACATAGTAGGCATTCAGACAGACATTTATTGAATGAATAAACTATTCTTCTACTAAAAACTCTTCAAAGTCCATATAAAAACGGGTCTATGAATGTTTGTAGAGACATTATACATAAAAGCTAAAAAGTGGGAACAACCCAAATGTCAATGAACTGATGAATGGATAAATACCATGTGGTATATGTATATAGTGGAATATTATTAGGCAATAAAAAGAAGGGAAATGATGATACCTGCTACTACCATATGCAAGAAATTTAGAACTTGGTAAATGAAGGAAGCCAGAAACAAAAGGCCACATATTATATCATTCCATTTTTATAAAATGCCCAGAATAGGCAAATATATATATTACAGAACAGAGGAGGAGGTACCCCAGAACCTCAAACCTGCCCACTTTATGTAGATTCTGCCATCCTCTGCATCAAGGCAAAACATACTCTAATGCATCAGCCCTTTAATGGAAAGGAATTTGAATACAATTAGTGTGCAACAAAGAAAAGGGGAAGAATAAAGTGTCCAAATCATGCACCCAAAGTTACCCATCCCCTTGTGGGTAAATGTCCAGCCAAACAGGATTGGCCCAAAGCAGGCCTGAGAGCCTGCCATAAGTCTAAAGCACTTTCTAGTGGGTACCCATAGAAGAGGGTCAGAAATAGCCAGACAAGTCTGGAAGGAAAAGAGCAAAATCAAAATCAAGATAAACACTGCTAGTGATAGCCTCCCCACAAGTCTCACCCATGTCTGTTTCAACCAGTCCAGGATCAAAAAGCAAGAGCAGCTTCTTCACAAGCCTCTGCTCCATGTGCCTCCTCCAGGTCTCCTTCTGCCTCTCCCTCCTGCTTCCTTCCTTCTCCAGTCTCCTTTACAGCAGCTTTTCTCCCTGCTCAGCTCCACCCTACCCTGGGTGGGGCAGGGAACCTGGAACCTCCCCTTTCTTGGGGACCAACTTGTTATTCATTTATATAGAAAATAGATTTGTGGTTGCCAGGTTTGGGGGTGGGATGGATGAGAGAGTAAAGTACTAATAGGTGTGTGGTTTCTTTTTGTATGATAAAAATGTTCCTTTTAATTATGAGATTGTGTCTGTTGCACAACTCTTTGAATTACTGAAAACCATTGTCTGGTACACATTAAATGGGTGAATTATGTGATATGTGAACTGCATCTCAAATAAACTTTTTTTTTTTTTAAATTCTTTGATGATTACCTTTTGCCCTAATGATGAAGTTAAAACCACCAGAAGACCTGCCATGATCTTTTCTTATTCTGTCTCTGCACAATTATCCTATCTGTGTTTGCCACATTTTCTTCTAATAATAAATTACTCTCAATTTCCCTAAGGAGCACTCTTAAATCTCTTCACTCATTCCTTTCTCCCTACTCCATTCCCACAGTCCCCTTAGGTCTTAGTCCAAGTGTTGTTTTTCTCCCCACTACTTTCTTGTCTCCACAAAGTTAGGTGACCCTCTTATGTTCTTGTACCTAATGCCCTCATTTGCAGGTTACATTGAAATGATAATTTTCTTGTCTGCTCCCTACTCTGCAGCAAGATCCTTTGGGCAAGACCCTATTAATTACTATAATAGGGCATCTAATACCACAATATTTGTAGTAACTTCTATATGTGAAGTGAGTGAAAGTATTCCGGAGATAGTTTTCGAAGATGCTTATGAAAACCTGCCTCAGAAAAAAATTCTCACAATGCTCAGTGATGAAATCAGATGTTAAGATGCCATTAGAGTATGATCCCAATTTTTAAAAATAATATATGTAGATAAGCACATAAAGCTCTCCTGAAAGCATGTGATTAATAAACATTACTACTTAGTATGACTTACTCTGTTTTACATTTTTCTGTAATTGTGTTCTTGAAAGTCACCTTCACCAAGAAAAGCCCTTTAATCTGGCAGAACTAATGAATGTACTCTAAAATAAAGAAAAATATAAGTTTTATATTTAAAATTTGAGGTTGCATTGTTTAGTGGATCTTAGCTTTATATAATACAATTTTTGCTCTTTGAAGTTGACTGTCAATTTTCTTTGGTCTGTATGTTTTTTTCTATAACATTATTGAAAGTGTACTATTGTTTTTATGGAAAAACAGTGTTCTAGAGTATTGTATATAGATGTATATAAAAATAGCATTTGCAAAACGAATGAATTAGGGACATCTATATGCCTATATTTTATGAATTATGAAAGAATTCACAGGCTTCCTTTGTTTTTAAAATAAAAATCTTCCCAGCTATAAATTATGTTATTAAGAAAATTTGATTCCATAAAATTTGAAGGGAAGTGTATATTATAAAATTAGGTACATACTCTCAGTATATTTTGCTTCTAGTTTACATATGTAGATAGCAGAACTTATTCTTCTGTATTTTAGGATATGTCGGCATATGTGAAGAAAATCCAATTTAAATTACATGAAAGCTATGGCAATCCTTTAAGAGGTACAGTATAGTTTTTTAATTCATAATACACAAATTTGAAAAGAGCTAAGAAACTAAATCAGTAATTTATAATTGGTTTATTTTTCTTTTCTCTTTAGTTGTTACTAAGCCCCCATATGAAATTACTGAAACAGGATGGGGTGAATTTGAAATAATCATCAAAATATTTTTCATTGATCCTAATGAAAGACCTGTGAGTAATGTTAACCTTTGCAAATATAAGTAACATTTTTTTTAGTAATTGTAAAGATAGAATTATAAACAGCTTGTGATATGGTGACATTTTCATTTGGGTATACTTTGTGTAAATTTTGGCATGGTGTTCTTGGCATGAGTTAAGATTTTCCAGTTTAAGTGAGGTGTTTCAAAACTAACCATGTTTTGGGCCTCCCTGGTGGCGCAGCGGTTGAGCGCTGGGTTGCGAAGCTGCCTGCAGCCTCTGCGGTGCCGGTTCAATCCCCGGCTGCTCCCCGGCCACCAGAGGAGGGTCCCACATGGCGCGCAGACCTCTCCTGCCACCCGCTGCTCCCCTCAGCAGTGTACTTCGGTCCTTCTGCCTGCTCTGCTCCCCGCGCTGGCTCTGGTGGATTCTCTCACCCTCCCGCGCTTCTGACTGTACCCAGTGCATGTATAAACAAAACAAACAAACAAGTAAAATAAATAAATTAATTAAACATGCCTCCATAAAAAAAAAAAAAAAACTAACCATGTTTTAAGCACAGGAAGAAGGAATACAATATGAACATTTATTGGAAAGAATCCATGGAAGTGTAATGATTATTGTGGCAAAGAAGTTTAAGGTTCATTAGTAATATTTGATTATTAGTAATAATTGAATCCATGTACTTTCTAAAATGGAAGTATCTAGTTTTTTATACTTTTTTTGTAGTTGTCTTTTTGCTTTTTCAAGCTGCCATTATACTGGTAACTATATACTTATTCATGAATTCTTATTTATAACCACTGACTTTTTCGTTTTTTGATCTTCACTTATCAGATTGTTGCTAGATAGTGCAAAAAGTTCCTCAGAGTTTTCACTTTGATCCCGAAGCAACTTTGAGATGAAGATATTGAATAAGCTCAGAAAGCAAGTCATATGTTCAAAAACACTCAAATGATTATGGCAAAGCTCAAAAGCTCATTTTTTAGCCCAAGTATTTGTGTTCACACCTCAAACTCTTTGTCATTACTATGTTGGGGTTTTTTTTTTTTTTTTTTTTTTTTTGAATAAAACCACTGAACTTTTTTTTTTTTTTTTCTTTTTCTTTTTTAAACCTTTAAGTTCACAACTGGCATTTATTGGCTAGAATTCTTGGGACTTTAACACCACCATTAATTTTCATCTTGTGAGTTAGATACAGTTCATTCCTGTAACACCAAACATCTACACCTTTATTATTAGATTACATTTTTTTAAACCTAAAAATATATTTTTAAAGGAGTTGAATATCACTGGTTCAGAGAATATCAGCTGTTCAGAGAATTTTTGTTTTTAACTGCCTACATCAGACTCAACCCCTTTGAGCCACCAGAGAGGCCCGGCATGTGAAATTTTTCATTGACTGTATCTGCATGAATGTCTTTGGGAATCTGATTATTAAATTTAGAGAAGGGGGTCTCCCTGGTGGCGCAGGGGGTTAAGCACAGCACTGTGAAGCTGTCCACAGCCTCTGCAGAACAAGTTCGATCCCCGGCCAGCCAGGGAGCTACCCACATGGTGCAGCAGACCTCTCCTGCCTCCCTTGCTGCTTCCCTCAGTAGTATATTTCAGTCAGTCTGCCTGTTCTGCTCCCCACTCTGTCTCTGGTGAATCTTTTGTTTTTTTTTAATTAATTTATTTATTTATACAAGCACTGGGTACAGTCAGAAGCGCGGGAGGGTGAGAGAATTCACCAGAGCCAGAGCGGGGAGCAGAGCAGGCAGAAGGACCAAAGTACACTGCTGAGGGGAGCAGTGGGCGGCAGGAGAGGTCTGCGCGCCATGAGGGACCCTCCTCCAGTGGCCGGGGAGCAGCCTGGGATCGAACCAGCGCTGCAGAGGCTGCGGGCAGCTTCGCAACATAGTGCTCAACCGCTGCGCCACCGGGGAGGCCCTCTGGTGAATCTTCTCACCCCCCACACCTCTGGCCTGTACCCTAGTTCTTGTATGCATAAATAAATAAATCTTTAACAAAAAAATAAAAATATAGAGGATAGGTTTATAATTTTAAGTTTTAGTTTTTAATAAAAGTCAGATATGCAGTTTGTTTTTAATTACAAGTCTCACGTTTCCTAGGACTTCCATAATAGTACCACATATTTGACTAAAAGAAGTTTTTTCTTACGGTTCCGTAAGCTAGTTTTGGAGGCTAGAAGTCCAGACTCAGGATGTTCACCATATCTCTACCCTTTCCTTGTTCCTTAAAATTCTTGTAGCCCCAGGTATTCCTTGAGTTGTGAAAGCCTAATCCAGTCTCTGCCTCCATCTCACGTGATCTCTCTCCCATCTCTGTTACTCTTAAGAAGACACAAGTCTTACTGGATGACTTCATCTTAACTTACCTTGATGACTTCATCTTAACTTGATTGCATCTGCAAAGGTGCTATTGCTAAATAAGATCACATTTTGCTGGAGGAATTTCTTCAGAAAAGATTCCTGAGAAACAAACTTTTGGAGCCATTGCTTTCTGAAAATACATTTTCACTTCATGCTCAATTATTTGGGTGAAAAACTGTAGTTCCACAGGAGGATACACTCGCATATCTAAGAGTGAAGGGAGATGAAGGGAAGGTAACAGGCCCTGCATTCTTTATTTCTGTATCTGCTCAGTTTGAGTTTGGAATCTCTCAGCCTCCACTAGATGTGCTGGCTCCACTTCTGATGCGTTTTCTTCCTTAATTTTCAGGTTGTGGATTTCTCTATGGTTTATCTATCTGTGTAGTCTCATGTGTTTTTTGTTTATTTCAGAAATTTGTCAGGCTGTCTGCTTTAAGTATAGCATGTCATGCATGTTCCTTATAATGATTTTTGTTAACTTTGTGGAAAATTCATTGAGGCATGTGAGTTAGTTTCTACAACTTCAACCTGCAGTCTGATGTTTTGCCAGCTAGGCTTATTTTTTATTTTGCTCGATCACACACTGAGCTGCAAAGCTTTTCTTACTATAACTGTTTTTAAGTCTTTTGAGGACATGTTTCTCTTGCCAAAGTGAATTATCACTGACTTTGTTTATCATGTTACTTACAGATCATTAAAGAAATTATATCTTGCCTTCACTGTTTTAACGTTGGTCATCCCTTTTGTATTTTTTAAGATTTTTTTTTTTTTATTTATTCATGCATGCAAAAACTGGGGTGTAGGCCAGCGGTGCAGGGGGTGAGAGAATTCACCAGAGACAGACTGAGCAGCAGAACAGGCAGATCTACTGAAATACACTGCAAAAGGGAGAACGGGCAAGACAGGAGAAGTCTGTTGTACCATGTGGGTCAGCTCCCTGGTCTGGATTGAACTCATGCTGCAGTGGCTGGCCATAGCTTGATAATGCTGAGACTTTAACCCCTGCACCACCAAGGAGGCCCCTGGTCATACTATTTTAAAAAATCAAATCTGTTTTCTCCCATAGTAAGTTTATAAACTTTAATCTTCACAGAAAACTGTCACAAACTAATCTATTTGCAACATGTAAGTAAAAGTTCATGTCTTAGTGTTTTCTTGATTTAATTTCCATAGCTGCATCTTGTGTTATTTTTATGTATAACTCACTAGAGATGCTTTAACAGATCCTTACTTACCCTCTTTAAAATATTTACATTAAATACATAATATGGATAATGATATCTCATAGGAAATAAAAGTACAGGGAGTTTGGGAGATTTGCCAAATTAAGTTGTAGTTGAGATTCTACTTATCCCAGTCTCTCACTTACAGAAATAACACTTGTCTCACAGTGATGATGAGAACCATTCCACAGATATGTTTGTTTTTATTTCACAGGTAACCCTATATCATTTACTAAAGCTGTTTCAATCAGACACCAATGCAATGCTGGGAAAAAAGACAGTGGTTTCAGAATTCTATGATGAAATGGTAAGACGATCTTACAATGAGAGTTTTGAAATCTTATTAATTTGTAGAACTTTGGAGTTATTGGGCTTTTTTTCATTCTATGCCATTAGATTTTTCAAGACCCAACAGCAATGATGCAGCAATTATTAACAACATCTCGTCAGCTCACATTAGGAGCCTATAAGCATGAAACAGAATGTAAGTGCATGAATTCATAATTATTCCTGAAAAATAATGTTTTTTGTAATGGTGAAAAGATTGTACCATTAGTGACTATTAATTTTTTAAAATAATATAAATAGGTAATTTTTTTAGGAGTTAAAAAACAAAATTATATGTTAGTATAGAACATGTAAGAAGCATGTTTTAGTTGTATCCAAGGTAGACCTACTTTTAAGTAACAGACAGGCTCTTATACATCCTCTGAAATACCTTTTGTCTTCTTTTACCCAGTAACATTTAAGCAAAACTTTTTATTAAAAGAGCTCCTTTCAGCATTTCTTATAGGAGAGATTTGAATATGTCAGCCAGTGAACCTCTGGAGTCACCAGCTGGAAGATCCTTCTGGTTATGGGTAGCCCCAGAGTCCCAGGTATTAAACTGTGCTGCCAGGATTTTTTTTTTTTTGGCTGATTTATTAATAAATTAATAAAATTAATGAAATGTAGGAGTTCTTTATCAAAGAGATTGAACCTGAAATTTTAAAAAGAACCAAACAAATTCTGGAGCTAAAGCATTAATGAGATGAAAAATGCATTAGAAAGGACAGTAAGAATAGTGCTATCCAGACAGGAGAGACCAAAAACTTGAGCTCTAGTGCCACCTTCTGGAATACAAAAGACTTTTTAATTGCCTGCATGTTGAACTGTTAGATTCGAATTCTTAATTAAATAAGGTGTCTGCTATTTCAGATGTGAAAATAGGGCATATCATCGAATACTATGAAAAACAAATAATGTGTTGTCACAAAAAGAAAATGATGATTCTTACAGCACTCAAACTTAAAGGCAGAGAGTATTGCAATGTAACTGATAAAGAATTAAAAATAGCTGTTATGAAGAAATGCAGTGAGTTATACAGAACTCAGAAAGGCAGTACTGTACTTAGGAATAAAATTAATGAAATGTAGGAGTTCTTTATCAAAGAGATTGAAGCTGAAATTTTAAAAAGAACCAAACAAATTCTGGAGCTAAAGCATTAATGAGATGAAAAATGCATTAGAAAGGACAGAAAGAATAGTGATTAGGAGGTTAGAAACTTAAGATGTTAGAAGAAGTCACATTAAAAGAAGGACACACAGTGGGCCTCCCCTGGTGGCTCAGCAGTTGAGTGCTGGGCTGCAAAGCTGCCCGCAGTCTCTGCAGCACCAGTTTATCCCTGGCTACCGGTGAGGGTCCCACATGACGCGCAGACCTCTCCTGCCTTGCCCCTCAGCAATGTAGTTCATCGGTCTGCCTTTTCTGTTCCCCGCTCTGGCTCTGGTGAATTCTCTCACCCACCCGCGCTTCTGACTGTACCTAGTACTTGTATAAATAAATAAGTCTTTTTTTTAAAAAAAAAAAAAAGGAACACATGGGCCTCCCCGGTGGCGCAGCAGGTTGAGTGCAGTGTTGTGAAGCGGTCCACAGTCTCTGCAGCACTGGTTTGATTCCCTGCCGGCTGATTCCCTGCCGACCGGGGAGATGCCCACTGGCGCGGCGCTCTCCTGTCTCGCACACTGCTCCCCTCGGAAGTGCTTTTGTTCTGTCTGCCTGTTCTTTTTTTTTTTTTTTTAGAGGCATGTGTTTTTATTTATTTATTCGTTTGTTTTGTTTATACATGCACTGGGTACAGTCAGAAGTGCAGGAGGGTGAGAGAATTCACCAGAGCCAGAGCGGGGAGCAGAGCAGGCAGAAGGACCGAAGTACACTGCTGAGGGGAGCAGCGGGCGGCAGGAGAGGTCTGCGCGCCATGTGGGACCCTCATCCGGTGGCCGGGGAGCAGCCGGGGATCGAGCCGGCGCCTCAGAGGCTGAGGGCAGCTTCCCAAGCCAGCGCTCAACCGCTGCGCCACCGGGGAGGCCCCTGTCTGCCTGTTCTGCTCCCCACCCTGTCTCTGGTGAATCCTCTCACGCTCCTGCACCTCTGGCCTGTACCCCAGCTCTTGTATAAATAAATAAAATATTTTTAAAAAACATTAAAAAAGGACACACATGGGCCTCCCTGGTGGCTCAAGGGGTTAAGACACAACCTATGAATATGTCCGCAGCCTCTGCAGCATGAGTTCGATCCACAGCTGGCCAGGGAACAGACCACATGGTGCAGCAGACCTCTTCTGACTCACCTGCTACTCCCCTCAGCAGAGTACTTTGGTCAGTCTGCCTGTTCTGTTCCCCACTCTGTCTCTGATGAATGCTCTCATCCCCCATACTTCTGGCCTGTACCCCAGCTCTTGTATGCATAAATAAATAAATCTTTTTTAAAAAAAGGACACACATGATTATATTAAAAAAGTAAGTTCTGCATTTTGAAAGGGCAAAGAAGAAAAATTAATTTGTAGAAATGTGGCAAGGAATAAATGTGTTTATATATTTGGAAACCCTAAATAGGTAAAAAAATAGAAAAAAAATTAAACTTTAGTGGGTAAATGAACAAAAGACACGGACAGAGAAATGAAAGAAGAGATGTCCAGTAAATAAAATGGGAAGATATTTGGCCCTGCTAGCAATTTTATTTATTTTTTAATTATTGGTTGAGGTAATGTTGGTTTACAGCGCTCTATGTTTTTGGCAATATAGGTTCACATTTCTACAGATGTCTCACACCACTTCTACCACCAAACTCCAATAATCTTCCACCATAGTTCATTGGGTATCCACATATAACTGAAATGATCTGGTATTTGTCTTTCGCATTTTAACTTGTTTCACGTGTGCTAGTAATTTTTTAAATGTAAATAAAACAGTAACGGGTGACCATATTTGTATTAAATTAACAGAAGGAATCTATGCAGTAGTTATACTTTTAAGGATCTGACGAACCTTACAGTTTCATGAATTATTTCTATGAATATAAACTGTGTTAGCCTTTTAAGAAAGCAATTTGGGAATACTAGTCAAAGACCTAAAAAATACAGGTACACATTTATCAATCTGAGGGCGTTTTACTGAATATTTGGTGATAATAAAATATGAGATTTACTGAGTGTGTACTATTTGTACTTGTATGAATTCACTTAAATCTATAATAACTTTATTTCTGAATGGAAACTGAAGCACAGGGATGTTAAGAAGCTTGCCCTGGTTATCATGGTAGAGCCAGGACTTGATTCCAGGTGGTTCCCAGGTGGAACTCATGCTCTAAAAACTTAATAATAAACAGTAATATTCAGGATCGTGGTTTCTCATAAGGATGCATATTAAATGTTTATACAGCCATTTATACTGCAAAGCTTTGGAAATTTACTTAAATACTAACGATCTAGATTTTAATAATAATAACTGCTTCTACAGAGTTACATAGTATTGAATATTTGAGAACTTACTATGTACAAGGCAAGTACTTTACAATCTTTTTTAAAGATTTATTAATTTGTGTACACAAGAACTTGGGTACAAGCCAGAGGTGTGGGGTGAGAGGATTCACCAAAGACAGAGTGGGGAACAGAACAGGCAGACTGAAATACACTGCTGAGGGGAGCAATGGGCAAGGCAGGAGAGCTCTGCTGCGCCATGTGGGTCACCTCCCTGGGTGGTGATGGAACTCATGCTGCAGTGGCTGTGGATAGCTTCATGGTGGTGAAACTTAACCCCTTGCACCACCTGGGAGGCCCAAGTGCTTTACATTTCTTAACTTACTAAATACCCATAACAAACTTAGGAGGAAAGTATTACTATTAGCCCTGCTTTATAGGTAAAGACAAAAAAAGAATATATTGGATAACTTGCCTAATTTAAACTGCAGAGTCTGTGCTCTTAATAGTCTGCTCTGTCTCTGTGTAAAAGTCTTAGCAGTCTGTGTTCCTAACCAGTAAGTAACATTTGCTCACAAAAATAATTCTTCTTTGGATTGATTCATTGTAAATTGGGCTTCACTTGAAAATCAAAAACAATTTTTTTTTTCTTTTCTGTATAAGCATTTAATATACAGGTAGGAGAAAACTAGAACAAGCTAAACAAAGTTTTGAAGTATCTTCCCCTAGGATTTCATTGCTAATTAACTTGGTCATCTTCCAAATATACCATACCCTTTACAGTCTTACAATTTGTCAAAAATGAAGTGTAAGGACAAAATCAAATAACAAGAATCTATCTATACATTGAATACTGTCCTTCTGGCAAATGAGTTAAATCAGGTTTGCCTGACTGAATTTAAAATTATCACATATAGTCATACAGAACCCCTAGTTCCCCAAATGTATACGTGCTGTTCCACGGCCTGCTACATCCGCTTCATCTCCTTCTTAATTTCTTTCTCATTCTTTAAAACTCAGTTCAGGTATTACTACTGCCGAGAAGCCTTCCTTGATACCCACACACCCCTTTCCCTTGGTATGAGTCCAGTCCGAGTTGTAGGTTCCTAAGATTACCTCATGATATCATACTCATTTTTCTTTTATTCTTCTTTCCATAGTATCTAAAAGTAAATATCATTTAGTTTATGTTTTTCAATTAATATGGGGAAGGAAGCAAGGGAATAGAAATTCTGCATAGTAAAAAGTGCTGTAAACAGTGTCTAAAAACACATCAACTATGAAAAATCCACTTTAACACAAATGACTAGCTTATAAAGAGCTCCTATACATCAATAAGAAAGACAAATAATTCAGTAGTAAAATGAACAAAACAAAACAATCAAAAGGAAAGGAAGAAATGTACCTTAAATATATAAAAAGGCTAGTCAGCTTCAATAATAATAAGAGAAACATAAAGTAAAACTACTCTGAAATACCATGTTTTACTTTTCTGATGAACTAAAACCCAAAAGTTCGTGCAACAGGAAAACAAACTAGTGGGGTTATGAACTAGTAGAACCTTTAAGAGTAACTTGGCATTCTTCCAAAACTATAAATTCATGTTCTCCAACTTTACATTTTATTTACAGGAATTTATTCTGCAAGTATACTGAGATACACAACACTACATTATAGCATTGTTTATAACAGGAAAAAAAATTAAAATATTCTGAATGTACATCAAAGGGGATAGATTAATGAATTATCTATGTCCACTGAGCGAGGTCCTCTCTAGCCAACCAAAGAGTAAGACAGCTCTGTGATAGGAAATGAGCTTTCAGATAAAATGTTTAGTGAAACAGCAGGATGCAGAACTGTGTATAGTGTGAAATTACGTGTGTTGGGGTGAGGGGAAGAAATCACACTTAGGTGTATACTTTTCTGTGAACAGATTATTTCTGGAAAGATACGAAAGAAACCTAACAGTGATTATCTCTGGAAAGAAATACTGGTCAATGGTGTGGGAGTCGGGGGACAGGAAACATGTTTTCTCTATGTTCTTCAGCCTTTTAATCTTGTATCATGTGTATGTACTTCCTATTTTTTTTAATATTTATTTATTTATTCATACAAGCACGGGGTACAGTCAGAAGCGCAGGAGGGTGAGAGAATTCACCAGAGCCAGAGCAGGGAACAGAACAGGCAGACGGACGAAATACACTGCTGAGGGGAGCAGCAGGCCGCAGGAGAGGTCCTTGCGCCATGTACTTCCTATTTTTAAAAATAATAAGAAAATAAAAGCAATGAAAGAAATTACAAAGATAGATGTGGATTGTTTGGGCAATATAAAAATATACCTGTGTTACAAAGTACACCACAAAAAGTCACCAGCAGTGAACAAATAAGAAAAGTCCTCATTAATGTTTATTGCATGTTCTTTATGTACTAGGTTCTTAACATATATTAATCCTCTGAGAAATACAAAGTTGTGACATTACCATGTAGAAAAAGAGATTGAAGAAGACAAAGTAATCAGCTAATAGGGCGCTAAGGGTATATTAGAACTCGTGTTTCTAATATCAAAGGTTTAGTTTTTTGGTTTTTTTTTTTAAAGATTATTTTTGTATACAAGAACTGGGGTACAGGCCAAAGGTGCAGGGAGTGAGAGGATTAACCAGAGACAGAGTGGGGAACAGAACAGACAGACTGACTGAAATACACTGCTGAGGGGAGCAGTGGGCAAGTCAGGAAAGATCTGCTGCACCATGCGGGCAGCTCCCAGGCCAGGGATTTGAACTATGCTTCAATGGCTGCAGACAGCATCATAGGTTGCGTCCTAACCCCTTGTGCCATCAGGGAGGCCCAGTTTTGTTTGTTTTTTTAACCAAACCAGGCTTCTTCCAATTAGCAAAAGCACAACTATGCTTTTAGTAGTCATCCGCAGTTATTGGAAGTATCCACAAGACAGAAATATTGAATGAAAATAGTCATTTTTAAAAAGATAGTGCTACACTATCTGAACAGACTGTTCAAAATATGTAGCCTACTTTGTAGTGATTATATTTTTGTTAGTTATTTGTTGTATAGGCACAATATAGAATGCTTTACATATCATTTAATGTTCTTATATACCAGGCAGTATTCTAGATACTTTATATACATTAATTCACTTGAATCTTATTAACAAAAATATTATTAGGTGTTTTCTGTTATCTCTATTTCATAAATGAGGAAATAGGGATAGAAGTGACTTAGAGTGTCACAGCTGATAAATGGTAGATCTGATTTCAAATCTAGATTTCTATTGCTAGCTTTTAATACTATAATTATTTATTAGCTGAATATCTCTTGGATTGTATGCCCCCTTGTTTCTAAGCTAATATGTATATGGAGAGAAACTAGGGTGCTATATCTTTAAATCTTAATTGTGAGTTAAAATATTAGCAACCAGAATTTCTTTCTTAGTTGTTGAAAACATCTTAGATGCTCTCTTGGGAGTTCAAGCTTTTTTACCCCTCCCCCCCATGTTTAATATTATTTATGTTTATATTTCATCATGGAAACATTGACATAAGGTAATGCTATATTTGTTGCTCTCTGACATATCTTCAACCTGTGATAAAAATTAAATTATTCAATAAATTTATTTTCCTTAGTTGCAGAACTTGAAGTGAAAACCAGAGAAAAATTAGAAGCTGCAAAAAAGAAAACAAGCTTTGAAATTGCAGAACTTAAGGAGAGATTAAAAGCAAGTCGTGAAACTATAAATTGTTTAAAAAATGAAATTAGAAAACTTGAAGAAGATGATCAGACAAAAGAGATTTAAACAATTCTGAAGCGATCTTGACAGTCAGCTAAACTGAAATCAAGGTGAATTTTAAAGGCAAAATGGACTGCAAATGCTGTGTTTCTTAGAGGAACTGTATCTGTAGTTGTTGACCATAAATTTCTGGCAATGGGGTCAAAGTATTTATACTTTTCAGGCAGTCTTTAATATGAGATGTATGTATAATGAATGAATGCAATATAGGCATTTTATCAACCCATTTTAGGGTAATTCTATGATGTTAAGCACAATTAAATTTTTTTTATTCCATTGCATATGTAGCTTGTGCTTTTGACAGACATTGGAAGTACTCGTATAACTTGGACAAATTTTGTACTTACCAAGTATTTAGAATTAGTTGTAAAATTAATGTGTATATTTAATTTTTTAAGTTCTTACCTGACCCTATCCTTTTTTGTATATGATATGCTCAGTAAGTACTCAATAAATGTAACTTACAGATTGTGTTTCTGCTGCTTCATGTATTTCTTCCTCTTTGAAGCATCTGGGGCCCTCATCTAACAATTAATATATCTCCATACTATTGTGACCAAACATCTCTTATTGTAATGTACAGAAGCACTTCGATGGCAAAGATCATATCTTAGCTTTGTTCTGCCTAACTACCACAGTGTCAATAGTTTTTGCATGGAAAAATATTTAATCTCTCATGAATGTTCCAAAGATATATAGAGGGCAGGTATCTATCAGCTTTACCTACCACTGCTAATTTCTCTACTGTTCCTCAGCCTCTCCTGTTCAGCTTCGTATGGTGAGCCCTCTACTTTTAAACTCATCACATTTGAATACTCTGTAATGCTTAATCTAGCCAGGTAGGTTGAACCACTTGGCAACCTCGGGACAATAATACATAGGAAGGTATTTTGGAAAACATCCAGTATTTTTTTTGTTTTTTTAAAGATTTATTTATTCATGCATACAAGAACCGGGGTACAGGCCAGATGTGTGGGAGGGTGAGTGGATTCACCACGGACAGAGCAGGAAGCAGAACAGAGAGAGTGACAGAAATATGCTGCTGAGGGGAGCAGCAGACAAGACAGGAGAGGTCTGCCCCACCATGTGGGATTTTCCCAGGCTGGCTGGAATCGAACCCATGCTGCAGAGGATGCGGACAGCTTCACAGTGCTGTGCTCAACTGCCTGCGCCACAGGGGAGGCTGGAAAACATCCAGTATTAGCAAAAATGACACAACTCCCAAAAATGGCAACTATGCCTAATGCAGGGATTCTATAATTTCTGTCGTCATTGGTTATATTTTACTGGATTATGTTTTACTTTGTTGCTTTAATTTTTTTAAATTTTTTTTTTAAAGATTTATTTATACATACAAGAACTGGGGTACAGGCCAGAGGTGTGAGAGGATTCACCAGAGACAGAGTGGGGAGCAGAACAGGCAGATTGACTGAAATACACTGTTGAGGGGGGCAGCGGGCGAGTCAGGAGAGGTCTGTTGCACCATGTGGGTAGCTCCTTGGCAGGGGATTGAACTCATGTTGCAGTGGCTGTGGATGGCTTCATAGGTAGCATCTTAACCCCTTATGCCACCAGGGAGGCCCTGTTGCTTTATTTTTTTAATTGTGGCATTTGTGGGTATTATGGAGGTTGTGAAAACTTCTCTGTGGTCTGAAATTTCTGCCAGAGACCCTCTGCAGGTTGGGATGGGTACTTTCAATTGTGCCAGGCATCATTCAGCGTTCCCCTACCTTTTATCCCCGTGTTCACAGAAATAATAATGTGCGAAAGGCCAGTTCTCTACAAGGAACCGTGTTATGGGAGATCATCCTTTCATTATTTTAGTCAGATGGGCCCCCTGGAATGTATTCTTTCATAAAGCCAAAGTTCTTGGAGGTAAGTCTGATTATGCATGGGTGCATCCAAGTGTTCAAAATTTATCATTATAGGCCTCCCTGGTGGTGCAACGGTTGAGCGCTGGGTTGTGAAACTGCCCGCAGCCTCTACAGCGCCGGTTCGATCCCCGGCCGCTGGGCGAGGGTCCCATATGACGCACAGACTTCTCCTGCCACGCCTCAGCAGTGTACTTTGTCAGTCTGCCTGTTCTGTTCCCCGCTCTGGCTCTGGTGAATTCTCTCACCCTCCCGTGCTTCTGACTGTACCCAGTGCTTGTATAAATAAATAAAATAAATCTTTAAACAAAATGTATCATTGTGACATGGCTTTGCCCTCTGTCAGCTCTTCTGTGTTTTCTTTCATTTTTAACAAAAGTATGATCTTTCCATGAAGTTGCAAAGAACTCTTATTTTAACAACATTAAAATGACAATTTAATTTTTTTTTAACAAAGAACTGGTAGTTTTTTGTTTTTTTTTTTAAAGATTTATTTATTTGTGCTGAGGGGAGCAGCGGGTGAGACAGGAGAGGTCTGCTGCGCCATGTCGGTCAGCTCCCTGGCCAGGGATTGCTTCATAGGTTGCGTCTGATCCCCTTGCACCACCAGGGAGGCCCGACAACTCAATTTTAAAGTGGGCAAAGGATTGAATAGACCTTTGTCCAAAGAAGAAATACAAATGACCATAATAAGCACATGAGGACATGCTCATCATTACTCATTAGGAGAATGCAAATCAGAACCAAAATGAGATAGCATTTCACACCCACTAGAATGACTATAATTTTATTTTTTTATTTTTTTTGAAAGATCTATTTATTTATTTGTACAAGCATTGGGTACAGTCAGAAGCACGGGAGGGTGAGAGAATTCACCAGAGACAGAGTGGTGAACAGAACAGGCAGACTGACGAAATACACTGCTGAGGGGAGCAGCAGGCGGCAGGAGAGGTCTGTGCGCCACGTGGGACCCTCGCCTGGTGGCCGGGGATCGAATTGGCGCTGCAGAGGCTGCGGGCAGCTTGGCAGCCCAGCACTCAACCGCTGCGCCACCGGGGAGGCCTAATGACTATAATTTTAAATAAAGCAAAAAATGGAAAATAAGTTGGTGAGGATGTGGAATAATTGCAACCCTAATACAGTACTGGTGGGAATGCAAAATGGGATAGCCACTTCGAAAGATAAACTGGCAGCTCCCCCAAAAGTTAAGCATGTTTATCCTGTGACCCAGCTTTACTCCTAGGTATGTACCCAAGAAAACATGTTCACACAAGAACTTGTACATGAGTGTTCAAGTCAGGCTTACGCATGATAACGAAAAAGGAAACAACCCAAATATCCATTAGCGATGAATGAATAAATGTGTAGTCATGCAATAAACTGTTCAGCCTGAAGGAAGTACTGATTCTGCTATCACCTTGAAAACAATGTGCTAAGTGAAAGAAGCCAGACATAAAAAAATACATATTGTATGTTCAGAATAGTTAAGTCCTTTAAAAAAAAGATTTTTGCCAGTGGATGGAGACAAGGTGAAATGTAGAATTAGTGGTGTGGTGATTGCATAATCTGACTAAAAATACTGAATTATATGTTTTTAAAGGATTTTAATTAATACTATGTGAATTCTGTCTCAAAGCTTCAATATTTGACAATTTTTGTTTCAAATTATAAAAACTGAAACTAGAATAGGCCTGGCTTTCTCTTGCCCCATTCTACGAGTGGAAGAGAATATTTATCAAGGATTAATTACTGCAAGATAAAGACTAAGAACAATTAAAGGAAACTCAGCTAACTAGGCAGCTCACTTTGTTAATGAAGATCAAAGTCTAAGTCATTTTTCTAAACAGTATGGTGGGTAGATGCTACTGCTAGCCTTATTTTACAGATAGGAGATGAAGGGACTGTGGCTAGATGTGGAGTCAACCAACAATGTGACTCAGACTCGTTATCTACAGCAATAGGCCTTTCTGCCTCAATAATACTTAATTCTTCTCATGTTCAAAGCGTTAGTATTTTTAATTGTCTGTTTCTCATACCTAAATACATCTCAAATGTCCTTTCTTAACTAATTGGAATAATTTGAAACACTGAGATAAGAATCTTGCTAGCCATTAATAACAAGAAAATCCTGGTATTAAGTTCTGTTGGCTGGAGTAGTAAAGAATAGATACTTGAAATTTTTCAGAAGTTATGTCAGGTAACTTTTCTTAACATTACCCGCAATGTCTCCAGTTTGGGTTTTTGTTGTTTGTTTTTGTTGTTTTAAATAGTAATAGACTTTAAACTTTCTTTTTTAAAAAAAGATTTATTTATGCATACAAGAACTGGGGTACAGGCCAGAGGTGTGGGGAGTGAGAGGATTCATCAGAGATAGAGTGAGGAGTAGAACAGGCAGATTAACTGAAATACACTGCTGAGGGGAGCAGCGGGCGAGTCAGGAGAGGTCTGCTGCACCATGTAGGTAGCTTCCTGGCCAGGGATCAAACTTGTGCTGCAGTGGCCGAGGATAGCTTCATAGGTTGCGTCTTAACCCCTTGTGCCACCAGGGAGGCCCTAGACTTTAAACTTTTGAGATCAAAATTAAAGAAAATAAGATTATAAAGGTAGCAGCTAGCAAGAAACAAGTAAATATTTTGGAGTGGAAAGCACTTTAAGCATAACAGAAAATCCAGAAATCATGAAGTTCTGGATCTCAAATTGAAAGAGTTAAACAGTTCTCTGGAATTTGCTTTAAAATAAACTGGGGAATGGGCGATAGGAGGGGGAATACCATGTAGATGAAACAAGATTAACTATGTTAGCAATTCTTGAAGCTGGACAATGGTTATGGAAGAATTTACTATATTGTTCTCAGATTTTCTATATGTTTATAATGTTTCCATAATAAAGTTTAATATCAAAAAAAAATACTAAATGCCTTTTTTTCCTCCAGAAAAAAAGATAGAGTAACTGTAGCACACGCTCTCAGAAGATGTCAATAAGTTCCAATTGCATAGTTTACATGCTTGCCTTCTGTTTTTTTTTAATAATCTAACCAGGGCCTCCCTGGTGGTGCAGAGTGTTAAGACGCAACCTATGAAGCAATCCGCAGCCTCTGCAGCACAAGTTCGATCAGCAGCAGGATAGGGAGCAACCCACATGGCGCAGCAGACCTCTCTTGCCTCGCCCATTGCTCCCCTCAGCAGTATATTTCAGTGAATCTGCCTGTTCTGCTCCCCACTCCGTCTCTGGTGAATCCTCTCACCCCCCCACCTCTGGCCTGTACCCCAGTTCTTGTATGCATAAATAAATAAATCTTTAAAAACAAACAAACAGGTAGCTGGTCAGATGCAGACCAGGTGCATAGTTTGCTGATGCTTGTCCTACTGTTTCTCAAGTCTGGGAACACACAAGATCACCAGCCCCAAGAGGGAGCCCTAGGATCTGCTTTGTGAATTCAAAGTAAAGTCTTAAGAATAGGCCTCTATAAATGTCTTAAGCTGACCATTTAGTCCATGATCCCGTGTACAAAGGGATTTTTTTATATAATTTTCTTAAGATTTATTTATTTATGCATACAAGAACTGGGAAACAGTCCAGAGGTGTGGGGGAGTGAGAG